GGGAGAAGGAGAGATACAGAGAGGAAGGGGAGAGCGAGACAGGGAAAGAAATAAAATGAGAGAGAGACCCGACAATTATAAGCCAGTTACAGCTGCAGAGCGCTGATAATATTTTATAGGCTCATATATCTTTGCTCCTCAGTGGAGTTGAGTGGCGCTCACGTACCTTTCCTGAACTTTTCACTCCCTTCCATATACAGAAGTAGCAGATAACCCAGGCTAGGATGAGACAGAGTACCAATTCCCACCGGAGCGAACCTAAATCATCCACACCGCTAGAGATCTGCAACACCTTGTTACTGAAAGAAAAACAACAGAAGTGAGAATTAAGCTATTAGTTAATATGGTCATTGATGAGGTGACGATATTGATCAATATTTCATGAACAATTTTTACATTTGATTTTTCTTGTTCGCCGCACACATTGCTTAACACTAACCTCCTCTATCTATGTCAATTAATAGCCTCAGTAGAATTGCACTGAGCCTAGCATTTCATTTCATTGTAGCAGATGTCAAACATGAGGCCGTTGTCGGTATGATTCTAGAGCAATTTTAGTCTTTGACTAAAATGAGGACTCAGAGAAACCCTGGTAAAAGTGTCACGATGCTAGGCATGATAACTATATTATTGCTTCATTCTCCTTAGTATCGGCTTATCACTGCTTTTCAATCCCTGCTTTCATCGCAGATACTTTGCATAGTACACCTACCCCTAACTTCCCTTCATGATTTCCTCACTTCGATATTGCTCTTAATATCTGATTTTTCGCCCACATCCTAATAATCTCTACCCGCGTGGCTTACTCAATCGATCAGGACAGACACTAGTACGGTCTCACGTGCCCACTATAAAACGCTGGCAAACGAGCCAAGGCAAGGTTCATGGATATTCCGCCCCTCTCATCATGAATGCTTCAACAATGTGTTCCACAACTCTGCGTTTTAAAGACCGAGAGGCCGAACAATAATAAATAAGGTCTCTAACAAATAAGGCCTATAATAAACAATTGGCCTATACGGGAAATGCCAGCCACCGCCGGTGCTGTTTTCATTAGCGCTTTTTGCCGGCGCACGGAACATATTTATTGCGACGCAATGTCAATGTTTTCTCAGAAAATATGAGCGCCAACGAACGCATGTTTCCCGCCTCCTCCCGCTACAATCAGACTCACGTTTTCCGCTCTCCATATATTTTTACCTCGTATTGCTATTAGAATTAAAATTGGCGCGGACCGCACCGAATGCCCTCCTTTTTATGATAGGCGGGATTCATACGCATGCGTCGCAGCGACGTTCGGCGAATAACTGCGTTTGATTTTGTAACCGGTCTAGTAGTAGTCTTTGTAACCCCTCCAGAGTTGAGGACATCTCATGATTTCGGCCGATAGAGTCGGTGACGTAATTATGTCTTCCTAATGTTTAACCTTCATTTCGCGCGATGAAGACCACGGGTTTGTTGCCGGATTATTTACTCTACTTTCACAGCACTGGCTCGCTCACAGTCGCATCCCCACGTAGGCCTACACCCCTTCTATCCATTCCAGGTCCCCTCGAGCTTCGCGATGCGTTCCACCTATTAACGATAGCCATAAAAAATGCACTGGCGTATCCGACAAATTTTTATAAAAACGTATATCGACGCGATTAACGTCTGGTGTGACGTCATCGGCCCGAATGATTCTGATTGGGCACGGTACAGCACTGAGCGCTCTCACATTTACCACTAAGTGATGAAAGTACAATGCTGCTTGTAATGGAAACATGGGCTGTTCGAGAGCTGTTCTTGTTGAAACATAGAGGGGATATAGACAGCGCGGATGTTCATACAGGAACATATGCACGGCTGTTCGTGCAGAAACATCAAAAGTGCTGTTCATACCGAAGCATGTGCAGGGCTCTTCATACAGGAACATAGACATATAGCGGGTACACAGCAGAGCTGTTCGTGCAGGAACATATGCATGGCTGTTCATGCAGAAACATTTATGGCTGTTCAATCAAGAACATACGCAGAAGTGTTCACGCAGGAACATAGGCAGGGCTGTTCATACAGGAACATATACATTGCCATTCGTACAGGGAAATTGACAGCGCTCTTCATACACGAACATGTAGGAAAATAACGTTCATAGACACCATATATAGCTATTTGCAGTAACATGGGAAAGTAATTAAGATGACGTGACTTTTTATGGTTAAACACAGGCGATAGACGGTCATCATCAGTGCCGTTTCTACCACACACCGGCAGGAAAACAAGTTGACAGCACGATGTATAACAACTTTGAAAATTAGCATAAATAATATCTTTATGTGATGTAAAGTTGAAGTTGATAACATTACTAATCATTGATTCAAGGTGCACTGATAACTTCTCAATAAAGCTCACAATAAGAAAGACTTAGTATAGTTCGCATATTCGTGCATAAACGAAGTAGAGATGAAGAGAAGGTAATACAGATAGAGTCAGGTAACCGACGATGATATGTAACGTTACGTTATCTTAGAGATGGACAGAAATGAGGATATAAACTCCCGGTATCAACGAGATTGTATCTAACCTAAGCGACCCCTAGCGGGATGCGTCATGGGTTCTGTTACATGATCTTCGCGGTGGACGATTTCGATATGTACCCATCCTTAGACAGAGTACATAAAGTTTTCGTTATTGCAAGCACGCTAAGACATGAATTAATTCAATAAACTACGTTATCGTAAAAACACTAATCGGATAAAAGTTGCAATACGAGCGATAGACCGACAGCCATCGTGTGAGCCGATGTAATTATAACATGGGGATTGTACAGCGCACTCTCCCGATGAGGCGCTACGGTTAGTATACACGCACTGCTGCTGCTATACACAGGCGTGCGAGGCAGTAGCGTATATATATATATATGCGTGTGTGTGAAGCCATGCTAGTGCATGAATGCCATCACCGCATCCCTGCGTGCGGCGGGGGAGGCTGCCGAGAGGAGGCTCGGCACGTACGAAGTCGGTTACGGGCCGCTCGTCTGCCAGGCAGCAGCGGTAGTAAGAGTAGCAGCAGCAGAAGGAAGAGTACCAGCAGCAGTAGTAACAGTAGCAGTAGTAACAGCAGCAGCGGTAGTAGCAGCAAGAGTAGTAACAGTTGCAACAGCAGTAGCGGCAGTAGCAGCAGCAGCAACATCCGCACCACCACCGCCGCCGCCACCGCCACCGCCACCGCCACCGCCACCGCCACCGCCACCGCCACCGCAACCGCCACCGCCACCGCCACCGCCACCGCCACTGCCACCGCCACCGCCACCGCCACTGCCACCGCCACCACCACATCACCACCACCAGTACAGCAACAGCAACCGCAGAGATCCAGCGAGCGAAGGTTTCAATAGAATATTAATTGGCTTCACTTGCTGGAAGCGTTAGTGGGATGGGAGAGCGAAGAAGGGTGGCGGATATGATTTCACTACCACGCGCCACACGTTGCTGATGATGAGCAGGGCAGGTTTGTGCGATCGGTGCATAGTGGAGCACGAGATTGAGCATCCGCGTGGTAGATGTAGGACCTTGAATTAAACATCGCCGTTTATGCTTTATATTGATGTGTCAATCAACGCTATGTAGTTTAGAATATAAGACGGGAATAGGTGGAGACTGGAGGGCAAAGCTAAATGTAATTTAGTGTGAGAGATATAGAGCTAGCGTGAAAGTGTGAGCGAAGGGCGGGTGTGAGAGAGGCAAAGAGAGAGGCAAAAAGGGTCGAGAGAGAGCGCGCGCACGAGAGAGCCAGTCAGCCAGCTAGCCAGCCAGACAGACACAGAGAGAGGGTGAGAGATAGAAGTTGGCAAAAAAATATTGGGAAAAAGAGAGAGAGGAGAAAGAGAAAGAGAGAGGAGAGAGAGAAAGAGAGAGGAAAACAAAGTGCGCGCGAGAAGGAGAGAGGGAGAGAGAGACCGAGCGCGCGGGAGAGAAAGAGAGACAGGGCGTGCGAAAGAGAGCGAGAGAGAGAGAGAGAGAGAGAAAGAGAGAGAGTGTGTGAGAGAGAGAGAGAGAGAGAGAGAGGGGGAGGGGGATTGAGAGAGCGCGCGCGAGAGAGAGGAGGGTAAAAGCAATAGAGATATTGTGAGCAAGGTGATATGAGCGGCGACTTCAAATTCCCGGAGTAGCAACAAACATCATACTTACTACCAGAACTCCTCGACGGGATCTATCACCTTCATCAAGGTTCCGTTTATCATCACCATGCCCGGCGGCAGCGACGAGTTTAAACCGTCACTGCTAATATTCCTCACGCTATCGTCGAAGTGATCGAAACACCTGCAACGGACCACAGCAAAGACACCTAGCGTCATGATGTTGCGGAAGATGGAGGTAAACGTGACGGCTAAGACAAAGATTACGACGGACAAGGGTATTGAAGGAAGACGTAAATTAAACGAAACGGAACAAGTAAATTTAAAACGAATATGAGGAAAATCAGTATATAACAGCAAGTGATGGACCATTATTATCTTGATTGAACCGTAATGTAATAAATATTTCGAAGCTGGAACATTTTTGTTTTATCGTGTTATAAGTTAACGTGAGCCGCCGGCACACTTACGTAAAGTACGAAGTCTTGAACAAAATTGCTAAGATGGGATTATAATTAATGAAAAATGACCAGAAGAAATGTCTTTCGGGTTTTGTGATTTGTCCGTTATTTATCGATTATCAGACAGGCGCTGAGAGGCGGGACAGACATAATGCTTAAAACTAAGTCTTTAATTGACGAATTCTAGCAGAATTAATGCTAAGGCAGGTTTCAAACCAATCGAAAACCCAACGTAAATAAAATCGTGAAAATCGTAGAGGTTTGACATCTTGAACATTATTCCATCCTGTATCATAGTGTTGTAGATTTAGATATAATATATATAAATATATATATATATTAGATAGATAGATAGATAGATAGATAGATAGGATAGGTAGATAGATAAATAGATAAGTATATAGATAGATAGATAGATAGAT